CCGAGACTTCAAAGAAAAATACTAGCAAAAAGGTTCTCCAGCAAAGTTAAAACGAACGATGACAAACGAAACATTAATAATAATGACGATGAATGAACAATCAACACTTCACGCGACACAAAAGATTTGAATGACTTACGAACGCACAAACAAAATGAAAGTTGAGAAATAAAATGAACAACGGTGGCAAACAGTTAAAGATTTACTGTGGACGAGAAATAATAGATTTAAATGACGCATCCAACCAGTTAAACAAAATAAACTCCATCGAAGTCTAAAGAATCAGAAATAATACAAGTAGACAATAATGCCTATAAAATCGATGGAGACAAAAGACTATCAAGATGAGGATATCTAAAAACTAATCTGCCTGAGTCAACACGAGGAATTTCGCCAAGAAAAATATCTAAAATATAAATGAGGAGAAAACCTAAAATAAGTTGACTCATCTAAAATGAATGGGGCGCTACAAGTTGATTAACCATCTTCTAGGATAATTTAATCAACTCTTAGAACCGAAAGGAGAGGAGTTGATTAATCTAGGCTCGTATAAAATAGGCTTGTTTGTAGTTGTATTGTCTATGTGTTAAACGACTCGTTGATTTCTCGTTCATGTTTACTCTCTTGTTACGAAAAGTTATTGAGGGTGAATCTCTGAACAAGTAGATTATTCAAATCCTTTAACCGAATTATCACTAGCTCATTAATTGCATTTCGAAGCGAAACAAATATCCTTGATTCCTTAGATTCTTCATCATTGTTTGATTCATGTTTTTAATTGATTTCTGTTTTATGCATTTTCTGTTATTTTCTAGTTGATAGTTCAAACCCTAATCGTGATCAGAGTGTTTAAGATCGAATCTAGATTTCGAACTGCATTCCTCGAGAGATCGAACCGGGGAACGAATCCTTCGATTCGATACTCAGTAAAAATAATTTGCTACAACAATTACATATATTCGCCGCATATTTAGTTCATAAAAGGTGCATATTTAGTTCATAAACATCGCATACTCAATTGATATTATTGGTGCATACTTAGTTCATAAGGGATTGCATATGCGATGCATACTCCATGCGTATTTAGTTCATATTAAGTGTATAGTGTTGAATGCATATTTACTCATACATGATGCATACTAAGGTCAACGGGTCAACGCTGGAGTCAACGTCAGAAGTCAACGTCGAAGAAAACGGCCAATCGTATGTACTTAAATAAATTTGTATTTATATTATTCTATTTTTTACTATTTACCAAATCTTGAAAACGTGATATGTTCATTATCTAGAATCTTAATATTAAATTCGCACATATGACTTAAAATATTTTACGTACATATGTGCACGTACACAGGATGATTACTAGTCTATATGATTAGATTATCTAAATGATTAAATTATCTATATTTATATTATTCTTATGCGACTTATTTTTTAAATTTGAATGAAGTTAAGTGGTATAGTGGTCAATATTACACGCGATACATACAATTAAAAAAAAGATATTTTGTATGAATAACTTACTTGAAAAAGACCTCCTTCCTCTTCGAAACAAAAACCCTTTCTCGTCGCATTCAATCTCTCCGAGTTGCTTTGCCTTCCTCAGCGACAGCGCGGCCTCGGCCAATGGTCGTCGAGGACAACTCGGCCTAACCCCTGACTTCACCTACCCCTGATTTTGCCGCGGTGGTTCTGCTCGAGATGGATTGTTTCAGCCCTAGGTCGTCGGTCTTGTTTCGATTATCGACGGTAAGCTTCTTGGTCGGTGATTGGTCAGCGATTGGTGGTGTTGATTGTTTTCGGGTCACGATTGAAGGTAAGTTCCCCTGTAATTGGAATTTGTCTGGGATTGAAGGGCTCCCCTCGGGCGGCTATGCTTTTTCGATTGGGCTTTCGTCTTGCTGGCCGGAGGACTGCGACAGAGTTGGAGGGTTTGGGGTTCAGTGGGCGGGGCGGGGCGGGGCGGGGCGGGGCTCCGGTTGCTGTGAAGGTTCCTGTTACAGCGATCGGGGGAGGTCCGTTTCCTCTTGCTCAATCCTCCGTTTGTCGAGTGGTGTTAGGCGGCGGGGGAGGTTCTATCGACCTCGTCTAGTGGTGTTAGAAGAGTTCGGAGGGAATCAGAGTGGATTGGATTATGGCTCTCTGGGCTTTCGATGGGTCGATTCGGGAGCTGGTTCGGGTTAGGGTTCTGCTACTGTATAGGTTTGATTGCAGTTTCGGTAGTAGATTCTTCGCCTGGCTTGGTCTTGTGTCGATCATTCACTGTTGGTTCGGGCTAGCTTGTTTGCTGAGGAAGGGCTGTTAGTTTTATTTTAGTTTTTTGGTGTTTTTTTTCTTGTGTTTGTGTTTATGTGTCCGTATTTGTGTTGCTAGTGTCTTGTATTTTTGTTTTGGGTCGTTGACCCCTGTGAGCCCAAGTGTTAAACTTATTACCCTGTTGGGGTCCGACACTCGGGTATTACCCTGTTGGGGTCCGTGTAGTTGTTTTGTTTGTTTGTGTTGTTAGTTACTTTAGTTATGAGTGTTTTTATTCTAGCGTTGCTAGCCAGGACTCTAGGCGGTCTTCTGACCTGTCCTCCCACTTTTTCAGCTGTTGGCTGCTGTGCATTCAGCCGTTGACTGCTGTGTATTCGCACATTTGTGCATTTTGATTTATAATGTTATTTATCGTTTTGGGGAAAAAAATAGAATAACTTACTTTATTGTTATTGAAACAAAGGAAAAAATAATATGTCATTCAATGATCAACATACAAATGGAGTTGAATTGGCGTATTTGTATGATACATTTGTTTTGTATTCAGCTATTTCATCTTCTTTTCATTAGAAACTCATTATTCTTTCGTCTATTTATACTGGTATCTTAATATGTTATCCCATCTCATTATTCTATTTAAATTTACAACAAAAACTCATTTTTATTCTTTTTATTTTTACTTTTTATTCCTCTACTGACATGATTAATAAACTAATTATTCTTCCTTACTATAAAAATTAACAACAAAAAAAATAACCACCACATATATTGCACGTGCACTTTACTAGTTCAGATAAACGTTTTTGTTGTCTGCTCTATCCGCCTGAACTTCACTTATCAGCTCTCCGCTTTAGAGATAGATAGGCGAACCGGGCCTTTTTTGGAATCTTTGGGGCATAGAAAGAGTTCTAAGTGCATTATTTATAAAGATTCATTGACAATAGAGAGAGAAGAGAAACTAGATAGTTAATTACGTGACTTAAATATGTGAACTCAAGTTATTCCGTTGCGACTTCTATGCTAAAGTAGGTTGGTCTTTCTGGTGCAATTAATTATCACTATTTACCACTTCTTTTAGTTGTAGCTAATAAATTCTACCAAACACTAAGAGATGGCAGGTTAGATCCATCCCCGTTAGATGATAAAAGTACTACTAAAGTCAGCAAAATAAATTTGGTAGCATGAAATAGGTACCGTCTACCATCCATTATAAAGACATAATTGGTCAATTTGTACATGCATTTTCACACGCGATGATACCACAGTTTTTCGAAAGTCATTTTGTTTCATTTACCAATGCTGGTAAAAAGAGTGAACCTTTTTATCACGGGCCATTTCAGGGTCAATTTGGACCGATGGTACCAATGATCAATTTGGACCGGATTTTTGACGGGCCGTTTCAAGATTATTCATTTCATGTTTGACCCGGTGATCCGTGCCGATGGCCCGTTTATTCAAAATTTTTGATAATTTTCTATTTTTTTATCTAAAAATGACGACCCTGTCCGGCCCGTGTTGACCATGCCATTGACCCGACACGAGCATAGGTCTATGCCGGGTCCGGATCCTTGTTTTTTAGCCCGGAGGCCCGCCGGACTGGGCCTGGCCACAGTCTGGCCCGTGTTTTGGTCATGTCTACATTGAAGTGAAAAATACACACTATAAATTTATTACTTGTCATTATACGTACCATCACAAAATCATAATCACAAACACAATTTTAACTTATAACAACCCACTAGAAACCCCTGTGAGCACCCCAATTTTGACTTTATTCTTAAACACAAGTGATCACATGTATGTATCAAACATAAGTTGGTGTGTACCTCAAAAAAAAATCATGCAATTGGATAAACTGAAGCTCTCAAATTTCAACTCTCACATGCAGAGTGCTAAACCACATCACATAGCCAATCACATGATTTTGGGTGGGTCCACGTGGCAAGTGATCCATTTTCTTTTACCCACATGCACATAGGCCATGTTACATGTTTGTGTGCATCAATAGCAGCTGTCACTATCATTTTCAACCTCTAAACTGTAATCAAAATACATTCATCTTTCATTTTCATGGCCATTATTTGGCTTCAACATGAAGGATCAAAATCGCCATCAACCCATGACCACAAAACAATCAAAATTAGTTTGTAAATTCATATCCCAAGCATATGGTCGATGGTTACAGCAAACGTTGAGATCTAACAACAATAAAAGCACGTAACTAGAAGATTTCCTAAGATGTTTAGGCAAAGCTCATATCAGGACAGGTTAAACTTGACAAAAATAAGCAAGAAACAGCTATGCTTTTCGTGTTAGAACTACATTATGCAACTTTAAAGTGTTACCAGGTGAGGATACTATCAAAGAAGTTGAGGTTAATTTCAGGCACACGGTCTCCACTCTGAGGGCCCACAGAACATTGTAAGGATCTACTTAACTACCATTTTTATTCAAATACACAATCTTGCAGACTGCATATATATTCGAGAGTCCATACCGAATTCAGCTAATTATGGCCTTATCATGATCGAAAAAAGTACTTATCCGAACAAATACCACAATCCAAGTATCCAACTAACCTTTGTGGAGTTTTTCACCCATAACTTTTTTGACATCAAAAGTTTGAATATTGATAATCTAATCCATTTTCAATCTCCAAATACCTAGCAAAATCTCAGTCAATTCAAGTCATTGGAAGATAATAAAGATGTTCTATAACTGGAATATACTATTTATGGATGGAATTAGGGTCCCGTCTGGAAACCATATTTGGACTCAGCTAAGTGCGACTTGACCTGCGCAAGGGCCCTATAACGGTGTGAAATCTTGTTCTTCTCTTCCTTGGGCATCTCAGCGTAACTACAAGAAGAATTAGTTCAGTTAGTTTTATCTTATCTTTTACGGGTTCGCTTATCTCTCGTGTGACGTAATAACTAAATCCTTTGTCATAGATTAGAACTTACGTCAGCTCATATCCGTCAGGTTGGAAAATAGGATCCCATCCAAAATCATTTGGTCCCCTCGGTGCTACTATCTTTCCCTGAAATGTACGCTACATGTTATGTAAATGGAAGTTATACTACTCTGTTTTAAAGTCAAAAGATAAATGCAACAAAATACTGACAATGGCTTAAAAACAAAGCAGTGAAACAATATTTACTCTAGAGTTAAAGACTGTAGAAATATAACGGACATTAGAGACGATTAAAGGTTTGAGTAGACAATGACAGTGCCCAGACATAGAGGTTTATTTTGACAAAAGACTAGAGTACATTAATGTGACAGTAAAACAATTGACTTCATGTATCTAAAGTTCATACATTTTTTTTTTT